CTTATTCTCGATTTTTTCATATTCCAGTTGGTGTTGACCTTTGATTAACTCATTTTTGGCAAAGGTTCTAAAGAAATCTCTGTCTCTGTGTCCGATTTTAGAGAAGATAGCTTTCAACGATGATCTGGGTAGACCTTTGGGGTCATCTCTAAATTTGATGAAGAGATTAAGGATGGATTCAGGTGTCCTAGAGCACTTGGTTATTTCATCACAATAACTAAGAATTTTGGCTTGCTCATCCTCTAGGTTGGTGTTACGAATATCATTAATAGATTGGTTCTCAGTTGTGGCTGATAATACTGCCTCAGTTTCATCAGCCCAAGATGTGGTGTTAGTGATAGTTGTTAAGTGTGGCTCAGTTTGTGTAATAGGTTCATCAATTTCCATTTCAGTATTGTTGTTAGATACTGCAGATATGAGAGAACTGATTTGGTTAGGGTTATGCGTGACATTTGACTCTGCATAGGAACTAATTTGATCTGCATGGGGGCTAATTTGATCTGTATGAGGGCTAATTTGATCTGCATTGTGGTCAGGGGAAGCTGCATGTGGTGTTTCATTTGAACAATCATCCTGTATTTCATTGTCGTCGCTCATTACCTCATTAGGAGCTGGAGTGTTTGGAGGGAGTCTGGGTGTTTCAGTTTTTTGCTTCAAGGAAAAAGTATTGTCGGTACTAGAGAAAAGGATATCAAGTTTGCTCCAAGGCATGTGTAATTTGTAATTTAGATGCTTTTTCATAATCTCTTTTATTAATTCAATTCTATCTTCGTCAGTTATTTCAAATATATTTTGAAAATCGAAAAAGGCATTGAGGAAATCCGCTGGCATGGGGTTCAAATAAGAAATATTGACGATAGTAATTGGTGTAGAGAGTCTGGTTCTTTGATATGTTTCAAAGGAAGCAACAATAACTTTGGGTGTTTCTGGACCTTCAGTAGTGGAGCGTACCGGTGTGAGCCATGATTGAGGGGTGTTTCCAAGCTTCAGAAGTTTATGGGAAGAATTTGGAGGGGAAATGATAATTTTGCATGTTTTGGTGTTTTTGTAAATAATAACTGCTTCTGGTTTTTGGATATCGGTGATAAGAACATCCAAAAGAATGTGCTCATGATTGCTGAGTTGGCCCTTAGAGGAGGAAACTTCTCCAGGGTCTCTAACAGTTTTTTTTTGAGAAGAAATTTTGTGTTTCCTTATATGGTAATTTTTATCGAATGTGGGATTTTTGAGAAAGAGTTTTTTATATATATATATTTTAATTAGCTTTTTCCTTTTTGGGCAGTGTCTATCATATAGCCTAAAAAAAAATATCTCAATTTAGGAATGGTTTGTTTTTATTTCATGTCCCTTTTTCTTAACTTTATTATTTCTAATTATTAATTAATTGTCACACTCACTTCTGTTATTTTATTAATTAGTTAGTTGTTATACTTTCTTCTATTATATTATTAGTTAGTTGTTACACTCTCTTCTGTTATGTTATCAGTTAGTTGTTGTACTCTCTTCTACTTTGTCCTATCTATTTATTTATTTATGACTCTCCTCTTTTTGCTATTATGACATCATTCCTATAATTTATTGCTATAAACTATTTTAGACTTATAATGGTTGTAACTCTATTTTTTAAACTTTGCACTTACTAAGTCTAATAATAATTGAGATCCTAATTAAACATGGTATGTAAAAATCACGTTTGCAGTCTAATTGGCTTAATCTTTATCCTAACAGTATAAAGCTATAGGTATGCAAATTGTATTATTCAAAATTTTAGTTATTATTTAATAACTCATTTATACAATATTCAATCACAATCTTAGTATTGATTTTATCATCATATAAGTCTATACTTAAATTATTATTTTGTTAATTTAATTTGTTTTTATTTTGTATTATATAATTTTTAAAATAATTATTATAGGCTTTATATATTTAATTTTATTTATAATGATTTTTTATTACCTTCATTTTTTAAAAATATTTTAATATTTTAAAGTACTATAAATTTTAAAAATAAAATATTATAATATAAAATTTGAAGTTAAATTGGTTTTTATGTTGTCTAATTAATAAAAAAATATTTATTTTTTGAGTTATATAATATTAAAATCACAAAAGTTTAATTATTTTTAAACACAATTAAATAATATTTATTATTATTTTTACTAATATATTTTTTTACTTCCAATACCAAATTAGAGTCACATGTTTAATTAAATCATTAAAAAAAATAATTGCATATATAAATTTATTTAATTAATTTAATCTACTGATTAAAAACATAAAACCTCTAAAATTTAATTTGTAAAACAACAAATTGCTTATACCGTATATTGGTCAGAATTAAATTTTCTGGTATTTTTCAAATTATTGTTTTATAAATTATTTTACAATATTATGTACTTTAAATTTAAATAACATTATATCGTTTATAAAAATTATAAAGAAGGAAAAGGAAAAGGATAAAATAATATGAATATGAAATGAGATAATAATGAACAACGTAATAAAATATACCAATTCATTTGTTATTACAGTCAATCGTGAAATAAACGTGGCTATACCCAAATGACATGATTATATCGAGCTTATTAATAAGTTACAGCAGTACACACAATACAGTCCTTCATATTGTATTCGTGTCAATCGAAAATATGTTGATCGGATATCCAAAGAAAATTCACAATAACATATATTTACGAAGATAAATACGAGATGCCGAAGCTTGTGACAAATGAGGAACGGTCCTTATAAACCCATAAAATAAGATGCATGCAAATGGTGATATCCAACCAGTTATTAGCATACTACAGTATAATGATATATACTCATGGATAAAAAGATCAACCATTAATTATTACAGTATAATGGAAACTGCAAACACAGGAAAATCTTATCTTATTAGGACGATCAGAGAGATTTCGAACAATGGCAAAGAAACGACAGCAAAGAACCAGTAATAATAATAGCACCTATGGAGTGGCAGCTAATACATTCAATGCTTTCCATTTCAATAATTAAGGCTAAATGTGGTAAATAATTAGAAAAGGATGGAGAAAGTTTAAAGTAGCTATAAGAAAGACTACAAGATATACAATGCGTATGTCATAATTGATGTGAAAAGTATAATTGACCGGAAAATGCTTGCCCAAATCGACACACAGCTCCGTCAAACATTTTCCGGTTACAAAAATGAATCATTTAGTGACGAATCAATTATTCTACAGTATTTGAATATTTAAGACAATTGCCACTTGTATTCAACCATCCATTGTATATAACTAAAATCTCACGAGATATTATGTCAAATAATGGAATAATAGCGTACAAACATTTTTAAGAAGCATACAAATTAGACATCATTCAAAGGAAAAGCGGAGAATCAGAAGAACAGGCATTCAGTGATATACTCTTAAAGATTAAGCAACAGGGAAAAAACTTAAATAATTAGAGAAGGCTTAGCACTTAGTTCGAACAAATCTAAACGGAACCAAATAGGAATGGTTTTCAAATGCCATCACCTCCTGACAATGTGGGAAGAAGTGTTTAGAATCAATATTGTCAGAGGGTAAAAATGCAACGCGACTCTAGTCACGTGACTAATCGACGCGAGAGTGTCGCGAAGGACCCGTTTCTACCGTGGTACTTGAAGTAGTGTGATAGAAAGTATGTAAGCGAGGAAACCATGCTAGAAAATTAGGTAATGAGGGAAGGATTGTGAAAGCGATTAAGTAATATAAACCATTATGATCAAGTACTGTATTATGTAATAGGAGGGAATCGTGAAAAGACTTTAGTAATCGATGTTGCCATATTTTTGAAGTGTAAGTCGTCCCAACTAAAATGTATAAAAAAAAAGCAAGCAAAGGTTAATAAAGGGGAGTGAGTCATCTTTTAACTCAGCCAAATCGAACACGCCTAAAACCATTAAATCATTGACATCGTCGACAGTTACGCGACACTCTGCCCCACTTTAGCGACAGACTCGCCGATCGACCGTTACAATATGGATAAATTAAAGTCACTGAATTGCCAGTAACAAAAGTATTATCCGTACACACTGGTGGCAGCCAGAAAAGCCACTTTTGATATGGCAAGACCTAGAAGCACGATTGTTACTGGTTAAATCATGCTAACAGCAATGCAAGCCAGATTAGTTAATAGTGATATAGAAACAACAAAAGACATACTCTTCGAAAACAGGGAACCACCTTCTCTTCCATACTATTTTTGTCAGTTTGACAAGTACGAAGGTCTTATAATTTCTAATTTAGGTGTTGATGTTATTCCTATCACGCCTATAATACGGACTTGGAAAGGTAAAATGAAATACAATATTCATGTTTACGGGTTCCATTATGATTAATATGGGCAGTCATAGTGCACAAAACTCACGGACCTACTTTAGAAAAGAGCATATTGATTTCGGAAACAGAGTTCGCAGCTGGACTCTCGTTCGTTGCGGTGTCCTGAGTACGTTCGCTCAATATGTTTGTCTTAAGGCTATAACTTTGAAAGGTTTGAGCAATCAAGAACAGTCGAAGATTGTGAGAAAGAATGCTTGAATAAGAGCGTCTACGCTCCTTATAACCGGACATACTATTATACAGTACTAAAGTTTATGCCGCAACGGAAGCAAGATATTAATTTTTTTTTCACACGAGAAATTCCTATACTATTATACATATTTATTATTAAAGAACGTGTTACATAATCGACTTATTTTTTATTTTATATTAACACACACGTATCAACTCATTTAGAACGTGCTACGTTATCGACTCACCAGATGAGTGAGTGGACTGACAGACATTTTATTAACATGCCTAGAATTTTATAGTCCTTCGCTTTACTTCGGACTAATAATACATTTCTAAAATTCAGTACAACCACAGCATGGTAAAAGGGTATTAAATTAATAAGAAAAATACAAAAATTACGTATTTTAAAATATCTATTGTCGAACTCTAAGGCTACATATCTTGGTGAATAAATGATCAATGCTAGCAGTTAGAAGGAATACGCAACAATCTATTGGGAGTTGGAGAAACTATTCCATTAATCACATTTTTGGTAGATGAACTATAAAGGTCGCTCTTCATTTGAGCTGGATCTCTATTTCCATTTAACGCGATCATCAAAGCAATGGTTCCTGAAACTAAATAATAGATAAGTTAAGATCAACTCTCATGCAAATATCACATTGAAAGGATGTGAAACAAAATGAATTGATTACGAACCATGAGGACATGCTTGACTGGTTCCGCTTTCTGATAAAGTAGCAGTGGTGGATCCAATTCCGCAGGAAACAATATGCGTGCCTAGAATCAAAACAATTCATTATTGTACTAGGTTTTAAATAACTACTTATTCTTATTGTCATACATATTTCAATTTATTACCTGGAGCAAAAATGCCAACGCATTTTCCAGTGTTTGAGAATGATGCGACATTGTCTGTAGAAGTATCAGTAGCACCAACTGCTATAGCGCTAGGTTCTGATGCTGGTGAATAGTTGCAAGCATTACTAGCATCGTTTCCTGCTGCGACAATCACATGAATACCTATGGATGTTAATGAAGAAACTGCGGCATTTAATGCAGTATTTAAACCACTACGTAAAGACATGCTATAAAAAAACATTGTTTTTTAGAATTTTTAGTTTTTAAAAATATCGACATATTGAAACAGGATGAAATTACTTTACTACGGTGTTCTTGTTGGAGCTTTTGCTATGTGCTGATGCAATAAATGATAATCCCGATATAATAACAGAAGTTGTACCCATGCCGCTAGCATTCATAACCTTAATGCCAATTATATTACATTTCTTGGCCACGCCGTAAGTTTTTCCTAAAACATTTTAAACAATTTTTTTTAAAAAAATACTCCAGTATCAAAAATTTTAAATTTATATGCAATCTTATTTTCTTACCTCCAATCTGTTGATATAGTCGTCATTTTTTAAAAAATCCTTAATAAAATTCAATAAAAAGAAATTCTTGAAATAAAAATTTATGATCATATTTACAATTCCGGCGACATTCGATCCATGACTTTATTTTTTCAAAAAGGAAAGAAAAGAAAAGAAAATATAAGTTTTCAAGATGTGGTGAAGTTTAATTGAAATAAATGATCCCACAATCATACCCGTTATCATCCGTGTTTGGACACCCAGCACAGAAAGCCCCACCATTTGTTGCTCGACCTTCAAATTCAGCATGTTTGCTATTGACGCCACTAGATGTTCAAGATATATTAGCACATGTCGTAAGAAATTTAATATAGAACCATTATCTTACGTGTCAACACAATAAACATTCACTCCGGAACCGTTGCTAGGTGGGAAATTATATTTTCCATCCAAGGGAAGGTTGGCTTGGTCAATACGATCCAAATTCTATTTTATTTTTGATATAGGATTAAAAAATGCGATCACATTATCTGTGCGAAGTTAACAATTTTTACTTACTGGTACCTTTACAGTGGAATTAGTAATAGCGGTTAAACAGGAACTTCTATGAGTACGACGAGTATCCAATCCAATTGCTTCAATACTCGAATCTTCTGCGACAGTAATACTGCCATATAATTTGTCAAACTGAGTTGCGGAATCAGAATCCATGAATCCTAAGCCGAAAGAATACTTCCCAATGGTGGTAGTCATGACAGTACTCTTATCATTTTCATATGATTTCATAGATAAAGGATCGATATCTCTTCTAATGGTTTTATTAAAACAACATTCTAACGAAGAAAGTAAATTCTCGAATTCGGTTTTATTTCGAGTATGCAAAACAAATTTACTTTGGCCTTTTGAGTTAGCCTTGGAGGTATCTATAGGACAGATGGTATTTTTGTGGGGTGCCGATTCAACCAATGTAA